TCAATTTTTTTAATTTTGACAAATTTCATGGTCAAACACAATTTGTGAGCTTTTACTTGCCATTGCTATTCATAATCCCCATCAGAAATGTACTTTATAGCGAAAAATTTTGACCCAAAAATGTACACATACAAATGTATTTTGTAGGTTTGATTTCACACTTTTGGCCATGTTGAATGGATTTTTTATTTTTGTGAATTAAAAATGAAATATACAATTAAATTTCGGGTTAAAAGTTTTTCCACTTTACAGTATTTGATGCACTAAAGCTTCCACCTGCTAAATACATGTAGATAGCACTTATTTTGTCAGTTGTAATTTCCTCTCTTACAGTACACGCAGGTCAAGAATTTGAAGCTCAGTGTCAGGACACACAGTAAGTCCATGTACAAGTAGTTACTGGTTATCATGAATCATTGTTAGGATATGCTTCTCCCCCCTGTCTCAAGTGAAATATGAAGATTTAAATAAAACCACACCCGCTGCTTCTACTACATGTAGTTCTGTTCTTCCTCATGATTGTTCTATTGAGTTGTCATTCATTTTAAGCCCAACTGGCCACAGTGAGGAATTCAATTTCAGAAGTTCATGTATATGTAAGTTCTAAAATTTTAATCTAAAAGCTGCACCGGCAGTGCTCCACAATGATTGGGATGAGCCTAAGCAAATGCAACTCTGACTAGAAAATTGATTGTATGTACGTACATGCATGTATGTCACCCAGAGTCTGAAACTATATTCAAGCAATGTTCAGACATTGTTTCTGAATATTATTTAATCTGATTTTCCATTTTTATAATTTTTGATACATATGTATGTACATGTACTGTGTATCAACTTTGAGTTGAATTTTATCAAATTTGGATTCTTTATAAATTTTCAAAGTTGTTCCAAGTACCAACTTCCAAATGAACTTTTATCAGCAAATGTTACATAATAGACTGTACCATTTATCCCTGTTGTTTCTACTCTTTTGTAGTACTGGAGCATGTAAACTTTGTGGGAGACCCTGCAGTAGGACATGTTATCGTGTTAATTTGCTTTTAATAAAGTTTATATTCTAAAATTGTATTCAGACTAAATGGTAGAGCAACACAGAAGTTTTTAGGCAATCTGACGCTTATTTCAGGCTCTGGTCACCTTGTGTACATGTAATGTAGTATATACATGTACTATGCAATAAATTCAATTTTAAATATTCCCATTCCAAGAGTCCACAGAAAAATAGGTTGAATAATGAATATGTGTGAAAACACCAAATTTTTCAAAATTTCCTCTACTCTATTACTACCAGTTATGGTAACAATGAGTTTTGCCTTTGTTGATTTAAACGCTGTGCAGACTAACTGTGTAAGTAAGCAAAAAATTTGGCTTTAACAATTATCATGATTCATGGCCATTGCTGTGCTGGAGCTATCATGGTCTTGTCCCTTAAATGTTTTACATAGTCTAGTATTTAATTTTTACAAAGACTTACATGCATTTTTTATTATAATTTTAGGTCCGGTGAAAGAGTTGTCACTTTCCCCTGTAGTGGCCAAGTTATTTTCATAGATATTATTATACATGCCATGTCATGTAGATGTAGTACTTAATATATTTTTAATGATAAATATGATTAGTTAATGCAAAATAGAGGGGAAATTTGAAAAAAGGGATTTTGATTTCGCTGTGTTTTGAAAATTAAAGGAAGTAGAGATGGGGCGATTCAGGAGTATTTAGTTCACAATAATGGAGTTGTAATTGTATTGAATGAAAAGGTGGAATTGTTTGAAAGAGAGATATTAAGCATAATAGTAGTAGGTGCATGTAAACACCTGATATGTGTACTTGTGACAGGAAGTTGTTATAAAAGAGGTGGCAAGTTGTTTATGGTACTCACCCAAGAAGTACGTGCTTTATTCATTTTTTATTACATTTTCTAATACTTTTGATGTTATGCTCTGTAAAAAGTTTGAGCTGAATCAGACTTCCAGCAATTCTATTTTTATAACAGCAAATTTTTTAAAAATTCTCAAAGAAATAGCCCATGATTTTTTTCCAAAAATGGACCAAATCACCCCCAATTTTTATTTTCTGATATAATACACATACATATGAATGTGATTATGCTCTGTATTCCACCTTCAATTTTTGAAGTTATGACCATTAAACGGCCAATTTCAAGGCTACATGTATATAGCTCAGTTTTTTTCAAAAAATGGTTCAAAATCAGCCTCAATTTATATTTCATTTTTAATATATAGATCTACATGTCCCTGTGCACATTCTCTGTAAAAAGTTCTAAGTTAATACCAACTTCAATGTTTCAAGTTATGACAATAAATATTATAGCCAATTTTTGAAAAATACCCATGACCATGTTTTTTCCAAAAAAAATGGCTCAAATATCCACCTGATCAATTCTTATGAAATTTTCTGATACATAATCCTAATACTATGTAAAAAGTTCAAGCTGAATCCGACTTCCATTTTTAAAACTCCTTTACAAAATGGCAAATTATTGAGAAACACCATGCTCATAAAAACATTTCCAATGTTTAATTTTTTTACTCTTAATAGAAATAAATATAATGCACACAATATCTCTCAAAGTATAAACAGTTATTATAGCTACAATAAAATGAAAAAAAATTGAGTAAAAATTATCAAAACTATGAAATTATTGCCACTCAGCCCAGTTCATGAGGATAAAAACCTATAGGTATAATTGGGTTGGTCATCTCCTTTTGTGTCATTTTTTCTACCCTTAGCCCTAGGAAGAATTTAGATTAAGTCTCTGGTGCAGGATTACACTTTCTTTTCCGCCCTTCAATGTTCCTCTTATCAGTTCCATCATCACTCATGTCGTTATTTTTTCAGCTCCTTCAGAAAGAATTTGCTTAACTTGTAATTAGGGGTCTCTTCACATGAGTTTTTTGTATGCATTCCAGTAATTTTTAAGAGACTTTGGTATACATTTTCTTTGCAGCAATCCTTAATCAGGTCAGTAGGAGCATCTTTATAACTGAAGAGAGCATTATAAATATAATTAAAGTAAATCATTAGCATAAAATATACTTTTATAATCCTATGTATCATGCTGTGTCAAAATTTAGCATTTTAAATATCCTTTGCCAAAATAATTATGGTTAAACTAGAGTCAACTTAGTGAAGGCATTCATAATAAATTATAATTAAACAATTACCTTCTCTTCATATTTGCCACCTTTGCTTATCATCAGCATAATCCTTCCCTGGTAGTCTACCACAAGACCATTGTAACAAGCAGTACCCATGTACACAATGTATCTCTAGATTTCTTCAATGTGATGAATCTACAAACAAATTGGATAATCAGTCAGTATAAGTATAAATTGTATTACTAAAGCAATTGTGTGCATCAATGCTTGCATGTGAACTCAATTGTGCCATCACGAGAACTTTTCAGATCAAGTTTATATGGTTTGTGTTCACTATCAAAGGAGCTCTGGTATCGAAAATCTAATTCATAATATACCAAGTATACCTGAAAATAAAGATAGTTACACACAATCATAAAAAATTATAAAATAAAAGGATTAGTAGGATTCACCTCAGTTCAGTAATAGATCATGGTCTTCGGCCACAACTGAAGTTTGATTAAAGTTTCTACATGCATACATGTACATATACATTATAATAAGAATTATGCATCAATGAAAATTATAAAAAATCAAAAAATCTCTCATAGCCCCTAAACCCTAAACTACAGTAGATCTACATGTAGTACATGGTCTTCAGCCAAACTTTTCAGCAGTTGAAAATGCATAAAACATCCAATTAATTCTCTCCTGGTGATGTTTAATAAAATATGGGCATAGATCCTGTACTATAAATTCTGGGTCTTTGGCCTGATTTTTAGTAACTTCAAGAATGACAAATGTAGAATTCTCTCATAGCCTTTTTGACATTTTTTCTGAAAAACAGGCTCCAACCAAAATTACTCAGTTTTATTAAACTTTTCAGTACATACATTGATGTCTTTATGTTGAATAGAAGTTTGAGCAGATTCTGAGTTCAATTTTGAAGTTATGACACTTTTTTAAAATAAAAAATTTTTGAAAAATACCCACCCATATAGAAATTTCAAGCTTGTTACAACTGGTTCACAACCTCACGAGGCAACCTGGTAACAACCTTGTATAAAAGTGCTGAAGTTGTGACTAACGTGTTACAAACATAACAACCTTGTGACAAGGTTGTCCGAAGGTTGACAGGAAACTGAGATTTCATTAAGTGTGTGCCCCATGATGATATGAAGCTATTGCTACCAAATATAAGGGGACCACTGACCAGCAGGCTACAAGGTTGCTACAAGGTGGAAAGATGTTAATTCCAGGGTTTTTACAAGGTGGTGGGCCTTGTGAGCAGGTAGTGACCACCTAGAGACAACAACCTTGTTACAAGATTGCTGCAACCTTGTTTTTTCTATATGGGAAGGCTTATATGCAGTGGATTCTTTGAGGATAACAATTTTTACAAATGACCTGTATTTGGAGGTTCGTGAAATTAATCTTCACAAATTGCCACTCTTCCTCCATCTTGTACCGTAATCACATTGATTTTCAAGGAATTTAATTCAGTTTGAAAATCTTAAAATATCCATAAATTTGCAAAATTTGTTTTCTTCAAAAACCCGCTATGCAGTAGCTCATGGTTTTTTAAATGACCCCAAAGTTATCCCCCCATTTTCATTACATGCATGGCCATCTCTAAAAAGGGCGAATTTGTAAAAAAGGTTTTTCCAAAATTAATGACTCCAAGATCACCCTTATTTTTATTAAACTTTCTGATACACAATGATGTACTTATGCTACGTAGACAGTTTAAGGTGAGTCCAACTACAAGTTGTTATTAATATAATAATAATAATAGTAATAATAACAAATAGTCATTAATTTATTATCTTATTATAACTGAACTACCGCATAGCGGAAAATTTTCATGGCCCAAAATTTTCGTGAATTTCACGTTTTTTTTTCAAAACCCACGAAAATAAAATCCGTGAAAATCGATTTTTATACGGTTTAAGATGGCCGAATTGTAGAAAACCACGAAAATTAAAGCCACAAAATTGATTTTTGGACGGATCCACGAAAATTTTCCGCTATACAGTATTATGATGGTCCTTTGTCCCCTCCACAGCATCCTCCCTTAGCACGTGGTGTATCAGTCTGTCTTAAGCTGGTAAACTAGTTAAACAGTCTGGTGGTAATTTACGAGCTATGAGACAAGAGAGAGAGAAAGAGATTATGTTACAATACATACTACAATACATCATTAGTAGCTACTCACTTATTTCAATGAACATTTCCTCAACATTCCTAGCAGTGAGGGCACTAGTCTCTGCAAATATGGCATTAACTTCTGATGCATAAGTGTGACCTTGTTCAGCTGGAATCTGAGAGGAGAGGAGAAGGGAGGAGGGAGAGAAAGGAGAGGAGATAAAAGCAAGATTGAACAGATTCGCGATTTTCTACTTATTGGCCATTGTAAAGTTTATTTAATTATTTTCACACATTTTATTAACGTAAAATTGAAAAAAATTTCATTCCAAAAAATTTTTTGCTATTTGGTCATCCTGTTGGTTTACCTGCCAAAAGCTCCGTATGTGTTGATAATCCTCAATGGTTCAAAGCCAGTATTCATCTGTTGTCTACTGGAGAGAAGATTCTGTACAACAGAAATACTGAGATAAGCCAAGAGCAATCCCAAGCCAATAGATACAACCTTCCTAATGTAATAACCTTTTGGAGGACAATATTGATAATAGTAATGTACACAGCACATTGTATGTCATTTCAATGATATGCATAGAGATGTACATGTACATGTACAAGTTTATGTACATGTGTATGTACACATGTAGCAAGTAAAAATTATTGTAAATGTTGACATACAAAAATGGAAATGCTATAACTACATAAAGTTTAACTCAATCCAGGACACAAATGACTATTACTAATTAATGTGAAGTACTGTATACATATATGAATAATATTGTATAAATACCTTTAGGTCTTTAAATCCCATCCTTTGCCTCTCTCTGTAAAGCAATAGCTTTCTCAATGCTTGACTTAGGAACCAACCAAGTCAAGTGACTCTAATATCATCAAAACAGAATATGGCAGGAAGCATAGTGAGCCAATTCAGGAATGAGAGGTTACCACTGGCAATAAGAATTAACTAAAAAGAATAATGAATTATTTTATTACTTACATTATTGGTTTAATATCATTTAATAGTCAGTTGATTATTGCATACATCATTAATGTGCTATGATCAATTTAATGATGGTCATTTTAGCACATAAAATAAAAGTATTGAAAGACTTTAAGGTACATGTACATATACATGTACATGTAACATGTAAGGCACAGGATACATGTACATCTATAATTGTATTCTTTCTTACTTGGAATAATATCTGTACAATTCCATTGATGGCACAAAATGGCTGAGGTAACATGATTAGAAAAGGAAAGAAAAGCTCCACAATGTGATTACCCATTGTTTCAATATTGTGTATAATCTCAGGACTTTGATGAAGATAATAACTGAGAGGATTAGGAACAAAAATGTACAAATATGGTCTTTGTATGGATTAATTGATGTCCTGAACCTAAAGAACAATACAAGTACATGTACATGTACAATATGTTATGTGCCATGAAATAACAAAAACCAGAAACAGTGATAAAATGTAAAAATAAATATAACGCATGTACATATGTGAATGTCATACAGCGTATGTACAATAAAATACATTGTTTAGATACATGTATGCTTCTATCTTTCCTTTATATACAATGTATGTCTTTACTGGAACTTAATCCCAGTCTTGGGTTTCCTTGTCCCTGTCCTACTTATAACCAGCTCAATTATCTGCTCCCTTATTTACTTTAATTGTGCTTATTAAGAAAACATTTTATTGAGTGGGCGTATTACATGAAGAAACAATTAAGTTCCTGTGCCAGGTACTCAACTCAGTCTGAATGGTAATATTCACCAGACCTGCCTAGACCACAAAAGAGGGGGAAATGACAGACAATTGACTACCATACGGGTATGAGGCACTAAATTTCACAAATTTTGTGAGGAATTTCTCTTCCATTAAAATTAATACCATGGAATTTAAGAGTCACTGCAAATGAGCAGCACAGGTACAAATAATGCATTGGGTGTGCCAAATTGCAAAATTAAATTTTTTAAATGAGACCTAAACATGCGTACTATTATTACTACTATATGTAGAAATTTTTCACCGTACGGTATATGACAAAAATAGTTAGGTACATTATTTTTGCTCTGACAATTAAGCTTATACTAGTTTTCTTATATTGCACACATGTAGAATAATGATTTACAAACAATCTAACCAATTATTGTGACATGCACATTGACATTGCTTAGTACAGCAACTATACATTACTTTTTGTTGCTATGATGCTGTGGTTCTATTTGGATGTGAGTAAAATGGGACATGAATGAAGACTAGGAGAGGACAGGGAATTAAACAGCTAGTGGTTTAAAGTGGGACTGGATCGAGCAGGGGACGGGAAGACACAAGGTAATAAGGGACTAGGATGAAAATAATGGAGGTTAATTATATGCAGGAAAAGACTTTATTCATCAATGCTACATTGGTTTTACATGAGTAATTCTTATTAAACAAATATACCAGTATATCATGAGAAAGCAGTCCTTATGCTATAGTTTTCGTAGTTTTGTCAGCCTACCTAAGTCACAAGATTGTAATACTAATTTATAAGGTGCTATGGACACTATACCATAACTTTCCCTGCACAGTGACGACTATAAGAGTAATAATCAAAAACAGTCAGCATGTGAATTAAGCAAATTGCACACACAAGGCATGGAATAATTATTGATAAATGTCACAAAAATCCCCTGTACAGTACAGATAATGTAGCAATTTGTGATAAGGACATTATACAAATGATTATTGACAAGTTTTGTGTGAGCTATATATATAGTATACTTTAGTAGCCCTTTGAGAATACAATTGCACTTTTCAATGATTCAAAAACATGTTTTCACAAACATACTTAAAATAAGCTGATAATAAAAAAACATTGAATGTGAATCAGCTAGATAAATAAGCATGTTTACTGCACTGATACTTTTAACATTGTATGCTGTATCTATAAAATTTTAATTTTAAAAACTTAGAAAAATCTTAACAAATTTACTGTGTTGCTTAACAAAATTAGTACCTGCCAATGCAAGGATTGACAAGACAGACAACCAGGTCATACTTACCTACATGTATCTAAGGTATATGGGCAAGGCAAATAAAAACTAAGAAGGTATTTACTATAGATAATAATGCTGTTCAAATAATGAATTACCCATGTATCAAATTACATTAGGCAATATTCGCTCAAAGTGCAATCATAGTGCTTGAATTTATACTGCTCTAAAACTGAAAATTGAGGAGAGATACAAAAATTATCACACAATATCAAGCATAACTATGATTGAGCTAACCTCGGTATAACTTAAAAACAATTCTACATGCAGAGTCCTTTTTTGTTAAGCAAAAACAAGTAATACATGTGTATGGATGCATATTACAAAATGTTTTTCAAGAGTAGGCACACCTCTTGCAGTGAAACATTACAATAAAAAGGAAACTCTTTATCATTTGATATCAAAATTAAAACTAAACTAATTCTTTCACAC